CCTGCATCTGCAAACCTCACTAACTGGTGGACTTTCCGCTTCATCACTGCCACACAGTGAGTGTCTGTGTTATCCCCACGTGGTTTCTACAGCAGTACAGAAGGTAGAACGTTCTCCTGGGTTCTCTCACTGTTGCCTTCACCGTGGTTCTCACTTCATTTTCTCTGAAGCAGCTTATCGACCAGTTCAGTGCTGTTCAGATTCACCAACATTTTTGACCTTAATCTTTCTAGTAATTCCTGTCGATGCTCCATGATGTTTGATCTGTTAAAGACACAAGACCTCCTCTAAAACCAGGACGACAAGTCACATAGATGTCAGTAATAATAACAAGGCCAGTCCATGTGGTTCAGGTAGCAGGTGTTGCCCCCCCACCTGAGATGTGCTTCACAGTTTGTTTGCTATTTGGGACACAAAACTTAGTTGTATAAAACGTTCTGGCTACATTTGGAAAACCTGGGGATGTTTGAGCTATCAAACAAACATTTTATTGTTTATTTTTGTTTATTTACCTGTATTTATGGTGGTGGTAACTTTATCTTCATACTCTACCAACAACATTTCCCCTTGTTGATTTGTTTCTCTTCTAAGTGCAAAAGTTTCCGACCATGCTGGTGTTGATCCCCAAACAGTTCCTGTAAGTGTCTGTATATATATCTATGGATGGATCCATGTTCTACTGAATCATGTCTTCGGTCACATGTCACCTACTGCTGGGGCTCTGACATCAGTAGGACCTGATGAGTGGAAAGACAAGGTTCCAGTTTTTAGATAGTTGAAGAAAATGTGGATTATTGGTAGGAAACAAAACCTGCAGAGTTATGAGCTGCTTCATGATGATGAGGCGGATTTTTCTGAATGTTCCCACAAACTGATATAATCAGTCAGCAGCATGCTAATAGATACATTGGAATAAATGGCCTGTTCATTAAGACAGATCATGACAACAAGTGAAACAGGAGATCCATGCTGCAGTAGAGCAACAAGAGAACAGTGCTAAAGACTCAGCAGCAGATTTGCACTTTATTCATGAGCAGAAAGGAAATCCTCAAGTCATGTCAGTGCCTCTGCTGGTCTGAATGTCAAGTTTGTGCTGCTTCCTCCTCCTTGTAGTTGGAGCAGCAGGTCAACTTTCCTTTTGCATCCCCTTCATCCCTGTCAGTGGTGAATCCGACACCTCGTTCTGTCGAACACAAAGAAAGCTTCGCCCTGGTGGCTTCCATCGGATCCTATCTGTTGGTGCTGATCGTAAACGGACCAGTGGTGTGGAGGATTAAGGAACATGTTCCTGTAAATCGGTTCACAGGGGACTGCTGCTTCATACATTCATTTTCACACTCAGTTATCTCAGTGCAGCTGCTTATTTCTGACACCTGCCCATTAGAGCTCTGAATGTTTATACATTTAGACATGAAGCTCAACATTTAGGTCTGACGCTGTCGCATAATGCAGGAAATCACTTTATTTTTTGTCCAATTTAAAGTGAATCAATGCTCCTGATTAAATGGTCTCTATGACAATACCAGTAGAAAATCAATGTTCTGATCAGTGATCTATCAGCTGCAGTACCAGGATGTAAACAGACCGAACACAGAAACATGTTTATGGGGTTTCTGCATCAGTAGCTGAAGTATAGGTTTCCATGGCAACAAGATGCCTCCAGTGTGTGATGCTGTAACTGCTTCATTCAGTGTTTCAGTAACGTACAGATCAGCAGGTTCACAGAGAAAACATCATCATCAGGAAACAGTTTGGTTAAAGGGAGACGCTGAGCAGGACCTGGACCAGGTTAGCATCAGTTACCATGGAGACCTAGCTCCACAACATCAGTTGCCAAGGAGATCTGACTCCACAGCATCAGTTACCATGGAGACCTAGCTTCACACGATCACTTACCACGGAAATCTAGCTCCACAGCATCAGTTACCATGGAGATGTAGCGGGTTGAAAGAGAGACACATTCGTGATATTGAAAATTCTGACTTTAGGCTCAACATACCTGCTGACACACTGATAGCTCTTGGTTAGCATCAGTTACCAGTTACAACACAGCACAGTACAGTATGACAGCAAGGTATTATGGTACAGTACAATATGACGGCACAGTATTACAGTACAGTACAGTATTGAATTACAGTATTGTAGTACAGTTCAGTATTATAGTACAGTACAGTATTATACTACAGTATTATAATACAGTATAACAGTACAGCATTATAGTACAGTATAACAGTACAGCATTACAGTACAGTATAACAGTACAGCATTACAGTACAGTATAATAGTACAGTATTGCAGTACAGCAGATGAACTGTGAGCTAAAACGGGTTGATCATTGCGAACACGTATCCCACCGGCAGCTGCAGTCCGATGTTCACTATGTGCCACCTTCCCACCACTAGAGCTCCTATAACTAACCCTCCTACATTTCCCAGAGTTCCCGGCCAAGAGCCCCACCCCCCCGCTGCTGCTGCTGCTGCTGCCCCCACTGATACCCCAGCTGCTGCTACCACACCCAGCAGAGCCCCAGATGTAGCCCCTTCTCCCAGAGCTGGGGCTAAAACTTCCACCACAACCAGTAAACCTGCCGCCACCACAGCTGCCCCCACAATCACCTTCACCTGCCCTGCCCCCCGCTGCACCAGAGCGCCCCCTACTGTTGCCCCCAGACCCAGCTGGCAGAGTCTGGCCGCAAAGAAGGCTGTGTTCAGAGCTTCCACAGAGGACTGCTGGTTCATGCGAGTGCTGATGTCTTCTCTGGACAGTTTCTGGCCCGCTGCTTTCATCTTCATTGCGGCCGTGACGACCACCTGACCGGCGTGCAGCGTCAGCATGGCGATGACAAACGAGGCGAGCATGCCCATGCATCCGACCAACATCCAGAACTTAAAGTCCTGAGATTTCAGGAGGTAGTAGGCGATGACGGCCACTAAGGCGAGCAGCACTATAAACACTGACTGGTGGCCTCCGTAACCAAACAGCCCAAACCCTGATGTTACTATGGCAACCACAGTCATCGGGACGCCTGAGAACGCCATGAAGTCCACGTGTTTGACCACCACAGTGTCGATCCAGTCCTGGATGGTTCTCTGCTCCGCCGCTGCCTGATCTGCCTCCATCTTCCTCCTCTCGATGCCCTCCCTCTCCTGGCGCTCGGCGGCCCAGCTCCTCTGGTGCTCCGACCCACTGGTGCTGCCTCCTTTCTCCAGAATCAGGATCTTCTGCTCTATCTGCACAGCCATCCTCTGTTTCTGCTGCAGCTCTGCAGCCTCGATATGAGTCCTGTCTTGGGCCCGGGCGTCATTTCCCAGACTGCAGCAGGCTGTTCCCTGCTTCCAGAGCAGCTGGAAAACGAAGCGCAGCGGCGGTTTGAGCACCGTGAACAAGCTCAGCGCCCACAGGAGCCCCACCATGCCGTAACTCTGTACGATCCATTCCACCACAAGGCCGAACGTAGCGCCGCTGAGCGTCGTGCCGAAGGCGGCGGCGAGTCCTGCTGATGCCCACAGGCCAGCAGAGGGCGTGTGGGAGGAGCCACAGTTCCTCATGGCCACAAACACCGAAGCTACCGCCGCTGCCAGAATCACGCCCGCCATCGCTGACGTCATCGCTGCCGTCAGGGACGCAGCTCCCATCAGGGTGCCCAGTCCCAGCGCTCCCACCGTCCGGACCTCCTCCATCACTGGCTTCAGTGGACCAGCAGCAGTCAGCGCCAACAGGCTCTGGTCTACTGGGTCCTCTGTGGCTCCCAGTATGCAGCCTCCCACTGCTCCCAGTGCAAAGCCCACAGCGGCCTCCTTCAAACGGCTCATGCTTCCTGAAACATGAAGGCACAGTTACGGAGGCGTGTGAATATCGTTCAGTGTGTCAGAGCCAGCAACCCTAACTGACTGTTCTGCTCTCTTTCCTGCTTGTTTTCCTGAAGCCAACGTTTTAGAAGCATTTTACACAAAGAATGACAAATAAAGACGTTCTCTCCCATGATGAAGGAAAGACGTCTTATTCTGTCGTCAGGAACATGATGCTGCCTGAAATGCAACATTTTTCAGTGACTAAACAAAGGCCACATTTTTATGGAAAAGTGAATTTGTGTTTCTCTGTTTAAGAGTTTCAGTGAACGAGTTCATGTGTGAAGCTGCCGTCAGACCGGTCGGTCAGGTTCAACCAGGATTCCTATCTGCTCACATTCTGCATGTGACTCCAACATTTCGTAATGTAAACTGTGGCACAGACAGGTTGAAAAGTGAACGCCAGAAAAGACAAACTCAATACTGAGACCCTGCATTCACTTGAAGTGACTTGTGCATGTAGAGCATGTAGAGAATGGAAGCAGCGATCGCTGGACATCGTTGCTGTCAAGCGTAACTTAAATAAGCAGGAAAGCACACGCACAGCTCATCACTAACACAGAGATGAATGAATAAGAAGTGGACATGTCTTTACCAAGTTTTGTTGACAGATGGCAGCAGACTGAAGAACCCTCTTCCACCGGACTTGATGTCAAACCTTCTGCAGATCTTCCTTCTAACAGCAGCCAGCGTAAAATAAGATGTGGTAGAAAGAGTTCTGTGACATACAGGACACTCCCTCTGCAGGTTCTTCCAGTCCTAATCTGCAGGATCTCAGGTCCACACTCATGTTTAGTGTCACGTGGTGTCTCCAAGGATGCAGGTGCTTTGGCACAAACAGCCAACAGCAGTGACTGCAGCCATATCATTTAAATGTCAGTTGATTCTAAACTGCATTATGTCACAGTAATCTGATTACTTCTACAGTAGAGTATTGTCTCTGATATTAGATTACAAATGACTGATTTAGATTTCATATAGGGCAGCAGGTGGTTCGGGTTCGGGTTAGCACCGTGGTTAGCACCGTGGCCTCACAGCTAGAAGGTCGTCGGTTGGCGTCCCGGTGAGGACACCCGGGATCTTCCTGCGTGGAGTCTCCATGTTCTCCCCGTGCAGCGTGGGTTCTCTCCGGGTTCTCCGGCTTCCTCCCACAGTCCAGAAACATGCTGAGGTTAATTGGTGATTGTAAATTGTCCGTAGGTGTGAATGAGGACTAAGCGGTGTGTAGATATGATGGATGGATTTCATTATTATTAAATTCTGGCTCCACATCAGGAAGTCAGTGCCTCATCCCAACCCTTTGGTTCCTTTAGTCCTTCATAAACTCACCTTTATTTCTGATGACAGATTCAATCCTCCACAGCTTGGAGGAGGAGACAAAGCACCTCAGCACTTCTCACAAACAGCCAAAAAGGATTTACAGGAAACTTCAGAAAAAAACGGTTTGGCACAGTAAATTAAAATCAGGAGTTTTTAAAGTGAGCTCCTGAGAAGCAGTACAGCATTTCAGTAGGTTTGCAATATTATTACTATTTAAGTTGTATTTGAGAACAGGTGAGCTGTCCAGGTGTAGCCTGCCTGAACCTCAGTCAGCTGGGATAGGCTCCGCCCCCACAACCCACGACAGGATATGTGGTGTTTTGATGATTAATGGAAGTTGTATTTAACTTATTGTGTATTATCAGTATTCTGAATTATATCTGAATTTGCCTTAAACCTTGATTTCTGCTCGTGTCTCTTTTATACATTTACTCTCCCTGTTGTTTGAACTGTAATGTGTTTCTGTTGTGATGATGTTTGTAGGAACTCTGACTGCACGGCCCAGGGCATGATGGGAAGCACCTGCTCTCACCTGCTCTCACAGCACATTGGTTTAGATGCTGACTGAACCATCTGATCTGAATAACAGAGCTTTAGATTGAATTATCCTGACGTTGAAGGTTTCTTCATGATGCCGGTCAGTCGGTACCGCTGCACCTTTTAAACTTCTGGTAAAATAACGTGTGCTCATGTTTCAGCCTGACAGCGTGACTACGTGACCAATCAGCTGCTGTCTGCCTATCTGACTGAAGGCTTCGGTGTGTTTCTGTAGTTTGCAGCCCAGCTGGTTTATATACAAACTGATGTACAGCCAAAGTCATGTAAAACTGAGGTAGACGTGAAGATAAATCACAGATCAGCTGTGCAGCATTTTAAAACTCTGCTCTTCTAAGTTCAGAACTTCAAACCCAGACTGTGATGACGTGCCTCTGCAGTGACTGTAGCGTGACAGCAGCTCAGTCACAGCATCAGATAACATTCTCTGCATTCCACACCTCGGCTTCTGTCTTTTTCTGTTACTGCTTCATGCAGGATCCTACGGTCGGCTGCATTGTGAAACCCCCTGTTTGTGCTCTGAGGCTTGTTCAAACTGTGAAGCATGTTCAGCTGTAGACGACTGTGGGTCAGAACATCAGCTGGCTGCAGCAGGACATCCTGGCGTAGTGCACATTTACCACACTCCTAGAATCTTCAGTTAAACCTATCAGGACCTCCCTTTAAGTGTCTTGAAAATGTTTCACCTTCATCCAAGAAGCTTCTCCAGTTCTATACAAAGATGGCAATGAGCTGGACGACTCTCTGGGACAGACGGACTCTGTTTCTGGTGTTCTGTCTGCAGGTCGGATGTTGGAAGCAGCAATGCTCTCCGAACAACTGGAACACCTGCTGCCCTGCACATCAGTGACGCCATCAATAGATACAATATACAGCCAGCGAGGAGGAAGTCCAAACAGCTAAAGTTAATGCGTGACTGCATGTGACAGCTGGGCAGCACCCACAAGTTGTACATCTGGGATCCAGTGAGACGAGCTGGATGTGGAGGATCTGAGGAGGACTGACATCTGCAAAAAACAGAAACAGTTCATCTGTTCATTACTCTGTCCTCTGTAGGGCGGAGCAGGTTCACCTGGACAGGTAGCCGGTCCATCCCAGGGCGACACAGCTCTACACATGAAAGTCCAGGATCAGTGCAGAGAACCTGCTGGTTTCAGTCATCAGCTGGTTCAGTCTGAAGGAAGCAGAGAGCTCCGCTTCTTTCACCTGCCAACCTGCTGTTACAGCTGCATTCCGGCAGGTGGCGGTGTCGCACCCTTCACATGGTTTGTGGAACAGAAGAAGAGCTCAGCGGAACCTTCGGCGGCTGCTGCTTGTTCTGCCCGGAACACTTTCAGCGATGGACCTGCTGGAGGCTCACGTGCAGCTGGCCGGTGAGTGTAACTCGGTTTATTACGTTAACTGGGTTTATTGGCTTCGGTCCGAACTAATGACCGGGGTTCTGGACTAGAAGCAGGATCTGGGGTCAGCGAGGTATCTTCAGGGTAAATCCTGGGTCTTCAGTCCTACGACGGTGGTTCTCTTCTTACCGGGTCCATCACCATGGTAACCTAGCAGGTTCTGCTGGAGGTTGAGACCACTGGTATAAAACACCTCCACTGGAAACCAGTTCTCTGCCGTAAAACTCCAGAAGGACAGAAAATGAAAGCTCGTATCTGTAGGACACGTTAATGAGCTGCACCGCTTTGGATCATGGTTCTGTTGGTTCTCCATCTGCTCCCACGTCCTTTCTACACCTCCAGGGCTGCAGCTGGAGGTAGAACATGTCAGATAGGCCACGAGTCTGTCCATCAGGCAGCACAGGAGCTAAAGGAGTCCTGAGATGTGCTGCTGGTCTGATACGAGCCTTCATGATGAGCAGTGATCAGGTTTTATGATAAACTAATGAGCTGATCGTCCACACAGGCAGCAGCTTCCTGCCACCATTCCTTCCTGCTCTGCTCTCTTTCTGCTCCTATCATGGTTTTATGTTCTTCATATCTGGTCCAGATGATGTTCTGCTCCTCGGCGGTAAAGTGAGCCGCTCTGCAGCCAGACTGGTCCGTAGTCCTGATTGGTCAGAGGCCCATAACTCCGCCCATTTATGCGGATGCGCTCATACTCAGATCAGACAGACCTGGGTCCACTTACCGAGCTGATCACCACCGTGGTAGGACCGGTTACCCTGAGTGGGTTGTTAGGGTTAGTCAAGCTGGACCTCTGACACATATCCTGGTCTGTTGGTCTGGCTTCTAGTCCAGGCCCCGGGTCGAGCTGTGAGATGTTCTGAGCTCCAACCAATGAATGTTTCTTTTATTGATTGTTTTCTGCATGAACCCATCAGAGGTCTGGTTCGGTCCAGACGTGTTCAGTTTAGTGTCACAGAGGAAAGAACCCAGAGTTCTGATATTTGTTTTGTTAAAGTATTCCTCATCAGCAGCTGCACCTCAGCGGTGACCATGGTGGTGTTGATCGTTTTATGTCAGTAGAAACATGTTGGGCTTCATGTTCGTGGAGAAACAGCCACTTCCTGTTTCAGATCTGTGTAGGAAACCATCTACTGAAGGTCCAGCAGATGGATAGCTAGTAATGCTAATAACTAACCGTTTATTCGCTTCATCGTCCTCTGATCTGCTCTTATCCACCCAGCAGGCGATGCAGCTCCTCGGCCTGGGGACCACAGTGACTCTGAAGGAGGGAGTCTGGATGGAAGGTCAGATGATGGAGATGGTCCGAGTGATGTGGAGGAGGAGGAGGAGGAGGAGGAGGAGGCGGGAGGGGATGACAACGCCAACGCTGGATGGGCAGAAGTCATGGCCAAGATCCTGGGGAAGAAGACCTCGGAGGGCCAGAGCAGCATCCTGGTGAAGAACAAAGATCTGGACAAGATGAAGGCGAAGGAGAAGCAGGAGCAGCTGGAGAGGAGGAAGCAGGTGCAGACAGTGGCACCACACGGTCCAGATGAACCTCTGCTGAGCTCAGAGAGTAGAACCCAGCAGTTCCTCAGAAAGCTGCTGACAGCGTTTCTGAACATCAAGTCACATAAGATCAGCTAAATCTGAGCCAAGTCAATCGCTGGTACCTGGATGTGTTCTGGTTCTGTTCACGTCCTCTGATGTGTTCTGGTTCTGTTCACGTCCTCTATCAGCAGCTGGTAGCATCAGTATTATGGGATGTCTTATAGTGGTACCAGTTTAATGTCTATGACACAGAGTCACAGAAACAATCAGTGGTACCCTGGATGTGGTTCTGGTTCTGATCATTCACCAGAGGAAACTTTACAAAGTGCATTGTGGGTAAACTTTCCAGGTTCATATCAGCATGTGTGATGGTGGTTGGTCAGAACCAAGTTCTAGACAATGGAAGGACTGTTTTACCTCCAGAACCCACCAGAACCGTCTGTATACACACTCGTTTCTGTGGTTATATGTCACAGGCATTAAACTGCTGCCGTCATACATCCCAAAACAATGATGCTCACAAAAGCAAAAGATCTTGTTTTTAGACGGTGATGAAATGAAAAATACTTAATTTATCCCAGAAGGGAAATTCAGTTGTTTCCTGAAACCGAGTCGCCTGAAAAACGTAGAAAAAACACAGATTTAAAGGTTTCATTTGGACTCAGTTCTGCGTGACTGAAAGCATTCCTGGTGTGAAAGTGAAGCGTTGCATGGCTTCAGTAAATGCACTCAGTCACTGTAGATACAGAACCAGCTGGTTCTGATGGCGTGTTCGTGTCCAACAGGATGACAAGAAGCGAACGTGGGAGATGATGTTCAGGGAGAAACCTGACGTCGTGAAGGACCGAGATGCTGAGAGAGCTCTGCAGAGGATCGCTACCAGGTAAGCATCTGCTCCCGCCGCTGTCCTCCACGCTGTCAGAAGCAGGTGAGTCGCTGCTGGTGCTGACGTGTTGTTGTGCTCAGAGGGGTGGTGCAGCTCTTCAACGCTGTGAGGAAACACCAGAAGACCGTGGACGACAAGGTGAAGGAGGCAGGAGGCTCCGAGAGGAAGAAGGCCAAAGTTCTGTCATCGGTGTCCAAGAAAGACTTCATCGATGTGCTGCGGCGGGCCGAAGGAGGCGGCAGGAGTTCAGACCGGACCGAGAAGCCAGCTGTGAGTTCACTTCAGTGTTCTGCTGTTTGACACAAAAAACTCTCACAGGTCTTATTTCCATGGAGAGAACCTCATTCAGTCCGATTCAAGGTTCTGAGAGACGCTGAGTTTATTTAACTTTATTGAAAAGAGTTTGCTGAGCAGCAGAGAACTCTGGGAGGAGTCCGGGCACCGCGGCAGCACAACCTGATCAGGTCACGGGTTCGACTCCGGACCGGGCCTGCAGGTCTCTCCCCGTCCTTCTCTTTCCCGTCTCTCTCTGCTGCTCTGATAAATACAGGCACAACGAAAAGAGTCAGTGGTTGTAGAGCTGCACACGTGACGGACGATCCCAGTTAGAGGATGGATGGAAACCGTTCAGGTGGATAAACTCACCTGGTTTCAGGTAAACGTGGCTTCAGCTGTAACTGATGGAGACGAGTGAGGCGTTTAGGGAACGTCTGGAAACTGCAGTGTGTAGATCAGCAGATGATCTGGGAGGAGTTCTGGTTCAGTTTCATTCCTATTCAGCCTGCAGGTGATTCTGAGTTCAGCTGCAGGTTCTGTTCAGCTGGTTCTGATGCAGAGTGAACATCAGCAGGAAGTGAAAGCAGAACTCTGACTGATTAAATATTAAGATGCAGTAAAAAATGATTTGTCTGTAAAATCAGTGAATAATTCTGACCTCGTATTGATCCAGTAATCTGGATCAGTCTGAGCACAGAACCGATGACGTCTGGTGAAAACGGCTTCTGTCTGTTTGAGCCTTTCAGGTTCAGAATGAATCCAAAGATGGAAACTCTTTCAGAGTTCTATGAGGAGGTTCCAGGGGGACGGGTGAGCGTAGGAAAGGGTGAGCGTGGGCTGCAGTGTAACCTCTGTGTGTGTGTGTGTGTGTGTGTGCGTGCGTGTGTGTGTGTGTGCGTGTGTGTCTGTGTGTCTGTGTGTGTGTGTTTGCAGGCTGCTGCAGCGCAGGAGAAGCCGGCCTGGAGCGTGCTCAGAGAGGACTTCATGATGGAAGCCTCCATGAAGGACTGGGACAAAGACAGCGACCGAGAGGAGGCTGGAGCTCCTGCAGGAGGAGAGCAGGGCAGCGATTCAGACTGATGGACTGGAGACACTTTGGCAATACGAAGTTTTCTGAAATGTTTTATTTAAATATGCAAATTAGGGATTGTATCATTAGAAACACACTCATTTGCATAAACTTGCAGAATAGACGCGATCATTGGATGAAATCAGATTTAATGAGTTAAAGGTTGCTCCGGTTCTGGAGACCTGCTGTTGTCGTCCCATGAATCAGAATATACTGTCTGCAAACTGTTGGACTGTTTTTTACGTGTTTTGATGAATAAAATGTATAAATGAGGCTTTAAATGATAAATGAACAAACTTCTTTGTGAAAACCTCCAGAATCCAGACAGAAATGAAGCAGAGGAGTGTGGTGGATGAAGAGCTGCTGGGCTGAGCGTCATGGATCAGAGTTGGAGGAAAAACTGATTCGTCTTTTATTAAAACCATAAGTTAGATGTAGAAACAAACATCAGCGTGAAACCTCCCAGCTTACGGCTGACGTCTGTCTGTGGTGCTCAGTAAGTCACAGTTTAGCTTTTCTATGATGTCAGATGGTCAGTCTGTCAGAACATGACTGTTTTCCAGTGAACTGGGCCTGATGACAGAATAAAGCCTCTGATGAAGTGGACGGCACAGCTTCCCTCAGTGGAGAGCTGAAGACACGTGGACTCTGCACTTATTCACATGTTTCTGTAGAATAATGATCATCCACAGGTTTCCTCCACCGTATTTGAGTTGAACCTGTGGCCTGTAGTGGGCGCCATGCAGGGAATGGTCCATAAACAAAATCACCTTTAAAACAGGGAACCATCAAACATTAGGGAAACGTACGTTTGATATTGTGCAGTTTTCAGGGCGGCGCTGGGAGCGCATGTGTTCTGGAACAGGTTTCAGCAGATCTTTAAAAGATGAGCTTGTTTATAAATTGAAGGAGGATTTGTAGAAATCAAACAGATTCTTAGAAAGTGTCCAGTCAAAACAACCAAATTCCTCAAAAGATTCCAGTTCAGAAAAATCCGATTCTTATAAAGTGCCCATCCTAGAAAGACACAGATTCTTAGAAAGTGTCCAGTTTCGAAAACCTGCAAATTCTTTGAAAGAATTTCTTGAAAATCTAGTTCTTAGAGAGTCCAGTCAAACAACACCACTTTCTTTTAAATTTTTCAGTCTACAAAATCAGATTGTTAGCAAGTGTCCATCCTAGGAAACCAGACATATTCTCGGACAGTATCGGGTCCAGAAAACCACAGCAGTTCCTCTGTGGCGCCTCAGAAACGGGGTCTCGCGCTGACCGGCTTTAGGACCCTGCGTCATGACGCACGAGAGTCCAGAGTGCCATTATCCGCCGCCGCGCGGTCCCATTGGGCACAGCTCTCTGCTGTTTACAGTAGACCGTGTGGTAACGTGGAATTTGTGGGTCCAGGCTCCGAAAGGTGAGGACCACGGCCCGGACCAGAGGCTGGCAGCGGGGGGGAGCAGACTTGTGTCCGGTACAGAGCTCCTTCCAGCGCCGCTGTTGTCCGTCTGCAGCGCAGAGAGACGAGCCGTTCCCGACTCGGCGGGCTGAAGAAGACGCGTAAAAGCGCTCTGCCGTAGAGCAGGACGGACTCCGAGCTGGTCACTGTTGTTCGGTAGGTTCGGCTTGAGATCCTGCTGTTGAAGTAAAACTTTACACCGTTAAAGCACAACTTTGTGACGTCGCTTTCAGGAGGCAGCCGATCAAAAGTTGGCACCTTGTGTCCCCGCTCAACGTCCGGACCTGATGTTTTTTACAGACTTTGTTTCCTGCCCGGGGAGTGCAATGCGCTGCAGATCGACGCGCTGAGCACCGACCCACAGACTCCGGAGCTGGCAGCAGGCTGGTGTCGGTGGAGCGGCTTGGAGGGCTGCTGCTGAGCGCGCTGATGCGGCGGAGGTGCGCTCGGTCCCGCAGGCTGCACAGCTGCGCGTCCCGCTGATGAAGACTCCGCTTTCAGTGCCTGTTTCCATCCACAGCTTTGTGGGGCGCACGGACACATCTGTGCGTTCCCGTCAGCCAGGATCAGATCCACCCTCCCCCGACAGCTGCAGCTCTCCGTAGCGGAGTGTTGAATGGATTTTCAGGAACACTTTACTGAAACTGAGGAATTAGATCCAGACGACTTTGAAACAACTGTCCGGGCTCGTTCCGTCACTGCTGCCCGCTGTGACTGTTGCTGGAGAAATGCGTGTGTCTGGCATTTAACAGTGGATTTAATTTATGGTAATCAGAATATTTGAGTTCTCTGGAGGAAACATGAACGTGTTCCTCGTCGTTCTGTTCCTCACTCTGGACCTGGCCACCGTGGCTCTCAGCCTGTCCACATGCAGCACGCTGGACATGGAGCAGTTCAGGAAAAAGCGCATCGAGGCCATCCGAGGGCAGATCCTGAGCAAGCTGAAGCTCTCCAGCCCCCCGGAGGACTTCCCCGAGCCGGGAGAGGTGTCCCGGGACATCGTGGCCATTTACAACAGCACCCGGGACCTGCTGCAGGAGAAGGCCAACGAACGCGCGGCAACGTGCGAGCGGCAGCGCAGCGAGGAGGAATATTACGCAAAGGAGGTGCACAAGATCGACATGCAGCCGTTTTACCCGTCAGAGAGTAAGTGTGTGTGTTACTGTATGTGTGTCGGTGCGTGTTTCAGTGCCATCACGTGTGTTTGTGATTGTTCTGGAAAATCCTTCCCATGATGCTTTGCTGCATGAGGTTGTTGTCAGGTATCAGAGAGTTGCTGTGTCCACAAAGTTCACCGGGAACAGTCAGTCTGTTCTTTGTTCACAGAGTCCAAACCACAAACGCGACTCTCATCTCATGAACAACGACTGTAGCCCAGGTTGAAGTTTGTTGCTTCCATCTGTTGAGGAGTTTTTCCTCTGAGTATTTTAAATATCTGCAGCATCAGGCTGCAGATATTTATCAGGAATTGGAGAGAAGCTGATTGCTTGTAATTGATCCCTGAGATGGAGCCAGGATGGATCAGGATCCAACAGCACCTGAGACAGGTGAGCTACCAGAGGGCCATCTGCTGCAGGACCATCAGTCGTTCCTCAGCAGATCTCAGTCAAGTCTTCGGTTTGTCGTTCTGTGTGATACCTGACTGGATGTTCTGACCCGGAGGTGGAACCATGGCTCTGTGAGGACCATTGAAGTATCTGCAGGTGGCACTTTAACTGACTCACGGCGCTGCAGAGACGTGGTCGTGTTGTTGTTGTTGTAGAGTTCCTTGTATTGTTCTGAGTGTCAGCTCTGTGAGGCTCTTACAGATCCTCTCTAGCTGCCTCCTTCATGTGCTTTTGGTCTTGCTTCCATCTGCCTGTGGATGAGTCTGACGGTTTCAGAGCTTTTGGATTTGTTCACATTTTGCTTTTTGAGCGAGATGCCGCTGAGACGTCACTGCATGACAAACTGTTTTCTGTTACTAAAATCCCAACAAGAACCACAGGCGGGGAAGTCTTTAGATGTTCCAGACTAACAGGAGCTCTGCTGGTAAAAGCGCACAGTTACTCCCACTTCAGTGTGTCAGGTTCCAGTTGACAACATGATCTAGGTGTAGAGAAACCCAGCAAGTCGGCGACACTAGTGTCCCAGCTGCAGTGGACTGGACACAGCGCTGCATCTGACTCACGGCTCTGCTGCGTGGATGATTTTCCAACATTCCACTGAAGTGAAGTGAAGCGAATGCTGACACCTCAGAGGTATGAGGTGTGTTGAAACCAGTCTGCTGAAACCAGCTTCTCCATTTATAATTTGGAAACCACATTCTGTTTATCACTTCTGCAGAGGAAACACAGTTTTAGTCACAGTCCTTCGGGCGGATGTGGCGTCCTGAGTCCTCCACCTCTGACCTCCGATGTGGAGAAAATGATCAGAAACACATCAGACGAAAGAAACTCAACGTAACCCATCAGAGTAACGCTCTGAACACCCGAACCTGCCAGCAGCGTTCAAGGCCTGTTTCTTTGTTTGTTTGTTTCTTTGTTTGTTTGTTTTCCATCTCTACAATGAACACCATTTGTCAGCCTGAAACTGTAAAAACTAATTGTCCGATTTTCAAGTTTGAGCTTAAAACCAAGAAACCACAACCTTCCTCGTGGTTCTGACCCTGCAGAACCAGAACCTTCCTCCTCCTGGTTCTGATCCTCCACCACTGACTCAGCTGTGACCAACAGGAAACATCCAGAGAGCTTCAGGATGAGCTGCAGCCAGAGTTTCCTCAGAGAGACTGAAGGAGAATCCATCCTACTGGATCAATGAATAGATGCAGCACGGATCAGAACCAGAGACCAG